TTTTTTTTTGTGTGTGTGTGTGTGTGTGTGAGAGAGAGAGAGAAGGGGGGGGACTGTGCCAAGCTGTCCGTTATGTGACTCTGACATGTGCTACTTCGTTTCTTCTTTGCGTTTTGCCTTCCCGGAAATGCTCCAAGATGCTCTCATGTCAATGCTACTCCCGAGAAGTCCCCCACCCGAAGAGCAACTGCCAAGCAGATTGAATGCTGATTGTTTCATTCAACAATGCAAAACCTGCGTAACATCAGTGTCACTCCTATAGTTGGAGCCGACTTCCTTCAACTTCCCCGGGCCAATCGTCAATGACATCATCCGAGCCCACCAAAGTGAGACTCACCCACACACGCATGCACTTGCGCACATGGTAAGCACGGGGCATGCATACACATGCAAGATGGATCACAAACATATCCAGAGAACACAGCAAACAAAGTCTGAATCTGAATGTTTAGCTGCAAAAACATCAGCGGGACAATGGACAGGATTTTCTCAGAAAAGTGCAGAGTTCTTGCACATCACAAAACAAAAACGATGCTGCGAAGGTAATGGCTCCCCAAACAAAACACTCAAAGATAAAGGGAAAAAAAGGCTCGGCGGCATATGATAGGGGAGTTCCTTATGCTTTTTCTTTCTTTTGTGCTTTTGTTCCTTTTCTGTTTTTGCGGGCGAAGCCGCAACGGGTCATCTAGTCAAGATATGGACCCAGCTAGTGAGCTGGTGTCGATGTTGTTGGCGAAGGAGGCAGCTAAGGAACAGAGGAAAAAAGAGGAGGAACGCAAGAAACAGCGACGAGAGGCAATCGAGAAAGAGGAGAAGCAGAGACGTAGAGAAGAGAGGAAACAACGCGAGAAGTTGGAGAACGACTTGCGCGTGGCAAAAATCATTGACATGCAACTTTCGAAGCGTTGGGGTTCTGTCCGCGCGGTGCAGAACCAGGAAGAGAAACAGGAGCGTAAGAGAAGAAAGAAGACGCTGCAACACAAACTGCGGCGACGATCATCACGGGAAGAAATCGGTACAGATGAGGAGATTGCAGCCATCAGCGCTGGTATCGAACACATGGAACTTGGTAGTTCCGCAAGTTCGGAGAAAGATGAATCTCCTGCACAGACTCCTCTTACGAGGACTGCAAGGAGGATGTACGGCTCAGGGAAATGCCGAGGACGACCACATACCTTTTCGGTTGCACCGCGCAACATCACTAAGGAGATCGTTCCTACCCCTGGACCTGATGCATGCGGAAGGTTTGTTCGGGAACAGAAGTTGATGTTGGAGACGCTAGACTACAAGGAGGTGAAAGAGCTATGTAAGAAGGAACACATTCCGTACGTCTGTAAGCAGCAGGCTATCGAAGACCTCGTCGAGAGATGTGTGGCAGCCGCTCTCGGAAGAACAAAGCAAGCCCCTTCACCAGCGATGCGCGCAACAGATCCGGTATCTAGTAGCACCGATATCGCCTCCTCGTCATCGGAAGAAGCCGGAGAGAGCAGCGATAGCGAAGCGTGATGTGCTTGGCGTACATGTGAGCTATGGTCGATATGTCGGGATTTTATTCACAAACGAGAATTGAGTCCTCATGTAGATTGTGAGTTGGAGACTAGCCTATGTTGGGTCTTGTTCGCTTTAGTGACACGTGGAGGTGTACCGTGGGGTGAAACGTTCGTGAACGATTGGACTAGGTTATGTGTGGAGAACGACGAGGGGATAGGAAGGGGAGATGGTTGTGTGTACGTGGGAATCGCGCCGTTTTGCAAAGCAACCTATATCGGCAAGACCGAGCGGGATATTAATGTGAGATGGAGCGAGCACCGGAACCGGAGTAGTAACGAAGGTGCTGTATGTCACTTCCACCGCTGGTTACGTACACATGGGAAGGAAAGCTATGTTCTGCTTCCTTTGGTGAAGGCACCTGCTGAGGATCTAACGGCAATCGAATATGTGTACATTAAACGTTGGTCCCCCGTGCTTAACTCAACAGGGCAAAGAAAGACTAATAGTTGACAAGAAAGGAAAGGCAAGCGGGAAAGGAAGAAGAACTCAGTTAGAAGGAAAGGTGAGGGTAACGAAGGCATTGAGATCGTTAGCTTACGTGTCAACAATGACAAGCGAAGTAGTGTTTGTCTGATTAGTTTACTTTTGGAGTGAGACAGTAAACAGGTGAGAAGTTTCACTTTGACTTTTACAGGTGGCAACACCTGGTTTGATGGTTGGAAAAGATTTAAGAGACAATTTGGGCAATCTTCTGTGCACAGGGAAATCCTGCTTATTGTGTGACTGTAAATCTTTTTTGGAACAGGGCGGGATTTTGTCTATAGCCAACCTTCGAAAATGGAGAGTGAACAATTGTAAGGGGAAACGTTATCTTGTCTCCCTGCTCAGGAACAAAAGTAAACGATTGTTTGCGTCGAAACGGGATTTGGATTTTTTGGTAGGATTGTCGCCAGTTATAGAGGACTTTGGGAGGAAAAGTACCAGAACCCTTCTAAGACGTATCATCAACGGAGCTATCAAAGAAGGATATGGGTTTGACTTACAAAACAATCTACTTGTTAGAGTACAGTATGACGACCGAGTTAGTCTGGGGGGAGTGCGCAGGCTTTTGGACGGGAAGTTAGATGAACTGCATCTTCCGGCCACAGTCCGTACAACTCTTGAGCGGAAAGTTAGGACAGTCTGGACTAAAAATCCATTTGTGTCTCAAAAAATAAAAATAAAGAAAAAAATCCATTTGTCGCTGACGTGATACATAATCACCAACGCTACGCGCGCCGGGATGTTTCAGCTTGTACTTGTGCTGATGTGCCGTTGACAAGGGTGAACGGACATGTGAGGTGTCCAATTTGGGAGGATCCACGCGTCCCGAAGTTCATGCACAACGCTTGCAACATACCGAGGCCTTCTAAGGCATGCAGAGCAGAGCTATTGAGGGTGGAACTGATGCAAGCAATGGGAAGCTAGAAGATTGGTGATAAGGATTGGGTGAATGTCGGAGTTGACGAGGCAACTACATGCATGAATAGGACTAAAGGAAGACCGGAGGAGATGAATGTAGAGGAGATACGGAGGGTGGGAAGATTATTTGAAGGTTTGGTTTTGTGCCCTGCTGATCGGAATCCGAGTCGCAAACCTTTGACAAAATTTGGGTCGTATATCGTGCTTCCAAATTTCACGTTCTTGGGCGATGGGAAGGGAAGGGGACAGTTGGGGAAGGCTACGCAATTCCCAAACATAAAGATTTGGGACGTTTTCGACCAATTTGTCCTACGTTTAGCGAACTGTGTGTTTCGGCAGGAAGGAGAATCGCAAAAGGTCTGAATGGTCTGTTTGACGGTCTCTCGGCTAATTTGCATTTTAACTTGAAATGTGTTGGTCACCTTGCTGCTAAGCTTGAAAGGATTAATTGTGCTGCAGGGAAAGAGGGACGGAACATGGAGATGGTGGGAGCTTCATATGATATCAAAGATATGTTCTCCCGCCTTCCCCACAGTTCCATCCTCCAAGCTCTCCGCTGGCTTATAGACTGGCATGTACAGAAAGGGAGACAAGGCGTTTGGGTAAACCCGAGAGGAAAGGGTGCTTCGGTCTTCAAAGGATCTAAGGAGTTGGGGCGGAAGGAGATTCCTTTTGGAACGCTAGAGGAGTATGTGCGTCTTAGTCTTAGCGCCACGTACACCAAAGCATCTGGTGTACTCCTGAAACAGGAGCTGGGTATTTCTATGGGCAGTAGTATGAGCCCACCTCTGGCATGCATTTTGTGCGTGTACTCAGAGTGGTGTTTTTTGGAAACACTGGGAGGATTGCGTAGGATGGTTCATGGCATTCGTCTTATGGATGTCGTGTCCCTGTTTCTGGTATGCAGGAAAAATGACAGAAGTTCGTATCTTCAGGCAGCTCGAATTCGAAGATGGTTTGAAAATTGCTACCCCCGGACCCTATCCCTGAAAAGGACTGATGATGGGTCTGAGGGTTGGGAATTCTTGGGCTGTCCCTTGGAGAATGGGGATAGACAACCTTATTTGGGTTGTTTTCAAAGAGTGCGAAATGAGTCGGACCTGGCACTAGCGTTGAATCTGACGATCACAGCAGGCCAGGACTTTCTGTCCTGGTCCAATCGAAGCCAGAAGGCTGCCGCAATTGCCGGTTGGCTGCACAGGATTGACGCGAATTCGTCCCTTTGCAGTTAAAAGAGGCCCGGTCTGGAAACTGACTGCGGACCTTTTGAGAAACTACGCGTGACTTCGACATTTGACGAAGAAGGGTAGTAGTATTAGTAGTATATATTTAGTATTGGCCATATGTTCATCCTCTCACAACAGCTAGACTACTTTGGTGGTCGTCGCTATTCTAGCACGACCACTGCTCAATTTTGTCAGGATTGACGGTATGGTCGGCGGATCATAGGGTTTGATGGTGTGAAGGTGGGAGACAACGGGATGGGACGTCCATAATGTTACTTTTTCCAATTTGACATCCCGCTCTGCGGGTCATTGCTGTTAAACTGTCTTTGTGAGACTGTGTACATGAGCTGTGGTTTGTGTGCACCGCTGTTTTTGGCCCCCTGGTCCCCAGGCGGCCCGGCTGGGGGAAGGTCGCCTCGGTACCCTCCCGGACAGCCCGGGCCGGGCAGTGGCCAGGCAGGGTCCCGGGCAGCCCCGGCGCATAATATTAAAAAAGATAAAAAAATCAAAAAATTCCAAAAAATCTGGAAAAAACAATGTTGTATAAAATTACAGTACAAGCAACTTTTGGCTGAGGGTCCCCTCAAAATTCCTTATTAATTTTAAGATAAAAATAACTGAGGAGAAATGAGGTAAGATATACCTGCAAGGACTTGCTGATTCTGCAGCCTGCGACCCGTTGACCCGAGGCTGTAACATAGGTAGGTTAGTTTTGTAATTTTGTTTGGCTGACGGCTAACCGAGATATCTGACTGTAAGGGAAATTTGTGAGGGACATATCTGCAAATTTGGGAAAGTGTAGGCCCGTACTAACTCGAATTCCTACAGCTACCCTAACTGCGAATAGCAGACCCGGGCTACCACTAGGACAGACAGGGCCTAAGGCCTACGCTGTTAGATTGGTCCTATAGCCTATAGCCGGGTAGGGACAGGCCCTGGAGGCCGAAACGGAAACGGTACCGGTCGGTCCAGTCAGTCCGGTCTAGGCTATAGTAAAGTTCTATTAACGGATTGCAGAAGTCTGTTCAGGGCTTTTGGCAGTTGGGACTGTACACATCGTGGGATGCAACGCGTGAACTTGAATGGTACAGCTTCAGCGTTGAAAGAGACAGACATAGCCAGACCCTTGAAGCGTCAGCCATAGCTGGGACCTTCGCTGTTCTCTGACAGCACGCGAGGCTGTCCAGAGGTCTGGGCTATCTGAGGTCTGCTAGGAGCAGGAGAAGTTGGTGCCCGGTTGTCACGAGAGGTGGCGCTGCTGAAGATCTTCATCAGAGAGGCCTTCTGGCACTTCGTCATCATTAGACCCTGTGGCACTGGTCTTCTTCTTCATCCTCTGAGAGGCGCTTGACCTCAGAGGCCTGTTACATGGTGGCTATGTGACACCCGCGGCCTAGGCCACGGGCATTTCCACCGCTGCGGCCGATGAGGCCCAGTCCGCGGCCTGGTTTTTCAATATTTCCCCCCCCCCCCAAAAAATACGTAAAAATATACCTCCCTGCCTATGGTTTACCGGGCAGTTCTATTTGACGATATATAGGGCTTGGAAAACCCTACACTCCTATATTTTTTTTTGGGAATCCGACTTTGTTTAAGATTTTTAAAAAATCAAAAACTAAAATCGATTTAAACAAAAAATAATAATAATAATAAAGAAAAGCATGATTTTTTTTTTGTCATTTTTTATCATGAGATATATGGTCCCCGAGTYGACCTGTRTTTTTTTTTTTAAATGAATTTCTGTTTTTTGCAGGGAAATGAGGTGTTAAAAAAAAAATGCAGATGCAAAATTTGAAAACAAATAAACAAAACAAGGGTTTGATTGATTGATTGATTGATTGATTGATCTGATTTGATTGATTGATTGATTGAGTGTGAGAGTGTGTGTGTGTGTGTGTGTGTGCAATCAGACTCGCTCTCTTCCACACTTTACATGCATGCAAACAGGTGCGCAGCAAACTGGCGACATGCGCCCACTCAGAACTCAGAGATATGGTACCGAGAACACAGTTCAGATTCAAGTTCACTTCGAATGGCTATGTGTGTGTGTTTGTGGGCGTGTGTACGTTGAGATGAGTCCACCTCGACATAAAGTCGAGGCAAGCTGGGTTAGATATGAAGCACATCGCAACGAACGCAATATAGTTGGATATAACCATTATTCATACGATTGAAATCACACTTCTGATTATTCAACTTGTCATGTATGCAAACAGCGAAACAGCAAATTGGCGACAGGCGCCCACTCAGTACTCAAGATATCGTATCCACATAAGAGTTCTCTTCAAACTGGCTATGGCGACTGAGCGCCCACACAATTCACTGTTCGCACTCTGGATCACCCTGGATGTCCCACACGCACATGCTAGGCTACAGCTATGGCAGCGCTAGCTGCCACTACCTATCGCTGCACTCTACTCCTCTGCCCACTTCGTCTTCGGGCACTCTGCAGACCTCCTCGCACAAGCTGCTAGGCAGCGATTCCGCATGGCATCCGCAGGAATGAATGAATGAATGGACGCAGCCTCTTGATTTATACTTCTGTGCTGCATTGGTCTGCCTTGTGTCCCTGGCCCATGGTGCACACAGTTCCCCCCGTGGTACYTGCTGRACCGGACTGGTACTTTCTAGACTCTCTCCAACATGGGCTTGCTTTAGTCACACCACTTGCCCACTTGCCTGCACCACTTGACCGCTTGCCTGCACCACTTGACCACTTGCCTGCACAGCTTGACCACTTGCCTGCACCACTTGACCACTTGCCTGCACCACTTGACCACTTGCCTGCACCACCTGACCACTTGCCAACCTTCTAGAAGGACTGCAGCTAGCCTTCTAGTCTATAGGTCTACGGATCGAATCCTGGCTACCTATAGACCTACGACAGACCTACCTACCACTGGCGGTTCTACAGGTCGCAGGTTCAACTCTTCGAGTTGATGCTGGTATTGTACACAGGTAAGTTGGGAAACTAGGGGTCGACCCTAGGATCTACCTCAGCTACCACGAATTGGTGAATACCGTTTCACGATTGCCATCTGCGAGCTCATTGAATCATGTCGATTGCTAGGAAAAGCCCGAATTCAACTATCCTCAGTCCAAACCCTTGCTGCGGGAAAAGATAAAGACAGTGAGCCTCTTATCATACTATAGACGTGGGCAGGGAGGGAGGAAAGAAGATCGGAAAGAGAGGAAGGTAAGGAGAGGCCTCGTGCCCCATGGACTCCCCATGGACTCTGCACGCGCAAAGAGCATAAGGCAGTGAAACCGCCTGGGTGAAAGGCATAAGACAGACTGCAGGGCAAGCAAACAACAAGGCAATGACACAAAGCAGCAAAGTACATTGGGTGGAAGGCATAGGGTAGGTAGGTGGGCAAGCAAACAGCACAAGGCAGAAGGACAACGAGTGAAGGGCA